GAATATTGTATCGGGTAAAATATACCCAACGTTAGTGATGGTGTTACTAATTTTAACGTTAGTGTTCTAGGATTAAGGAATCCAAAGAGTTAAAAAAAAATGATTTAGGAATCAGAATGGGAAGACACTGAAACAAATATAGGAATTTTGGAAGCAGTGTTTTTGCAGAATTAACACAACAGTTTCTAAAGAAGGAATACGTTAAAAATGTTGGCCAAGTATGTTGTCTGACTTCAACCCCATTGATCACTTTTAGGGTATTTCAAAGAGAAAAAGTAAAGCAACACAACCTCTCTAGCAAAAAGCAACTGAAAAGAAATAGTGTCGATTGAATCGCAGAACATCTTTGTAGAAATTTGGTCTCTTCTGAGCTATGGAGTCTATCATAAAAAAATAAAGGTGGATGTACACAGTATAGAAAGAAAAAAGATTTGAATCTCAGTGGTGACTTTTGTTGCATTGACTGTGGAGACTGTACTTTTAATATAGTAAATCTGATCGATTAGTTTTTCATTTTAAAAAGAGTGAACAACCTACTGTTCAACTTAGCAGTAATGACATTTCTATAATGTAATACTATTGTCAGTCATTTCATATTTAAGTGATATTGCACAGGAGTGTGCTCACCTCTGTTGCACACTTTAAAACAACATATCGGGAAACTTAACAAAATTGTAATAGTTTAATAAAATGTATTTTACATTCTTGCCACAAATTGAATTTATTAAACTCATTTTGCATATGTAAAAAATTTCGATGAATCCCTTTAGTATTATTCATTTTGACTTTGTTATGTTGTTTTTGAAATTTATTTCAGAGAAAAAATCTTAAACTACAACCTTATTAGCAACTACAGCTCCATGCAATGCAATAAAATGGCAGAATGTTTCCCCTCTGAAATGTAGTAGAGTAGAAATATGATTATTGTCAAGCATGGTCAAATGTTTAGTAATATATAGTCGTCCTCAAATTTATTCATACCCTCCCATTAAAGAAGGAAAAAAACAGCTGTCACGGAAAAAGGTTGAAACTGACAAAAGTAATAAGAAATAAAAATGTAATGAAAATCATGACATCGCTTTTTAATTGTGGTTCAACAGAAATATTTAAACAACAACAACAACAAACAAGCAAACGAGCATGATGGGACCCATAAACTAATATTTTGTTGAACCACCCTTTGAGCCAATCACTGCAATCAAGTGTTTTCTGTAACTCTCAGTCAGACTGTTGACAGGTATTCTGATTTTGGCCCACTGCTCATCAGCAAAGTGCTCTAATTTGTCCGGGACAGTTTTGTTTTTTGTTTTTTAAATTATTCTTTTCAACCACAATTCAAAAGCAATATCTTATTCTACTAAATTATAATTTAGCAACTTTTAATAAATTATTACTTTTTTCAGTTTCTAGTTACTCGAGTGACTATTGTGAATTTTTCCTTTTCTTTCATGGAAAGGTATAAATACATCTGAGGATGACTGTATACTCTGCTTGGAGTGATTAATTGTGTCTTATGTGACTGTTTCTATTAACAAAAAATCATCCATTATTAATTAAATTAAATAATTCACATGTTTTATACACAAATGATTGTGTCAGCCACCACTATTCGGTAATCATCAAGCTGGATGGTGATGATGAAGTTGGACATCGGCAGGTTCTTGATGATTTTATATTATGGTGCAAAGAAGCTTTCCTTCAGATCAATGTTTCTAAAACAAAGGAGATCTG